GACGCGGTTCAGAAGCAGGGTCAGACTTGGAGAGGTATTTTTGGAGCAGTTGGAGCTGTGGAGCTGGTTGCCAGGGCAGCCAGGAAGTAGCACCCAAGTTCCAGGCCTCCCCAAGCCCTCAGACTCAAGGCAGCCTCCAGGCTTTGGCACAGAACAGGCGTCACCTAGAACCAGATGGAAAGAGGAAACCCTCACATCTGTCATAATGGCAGGACTCTAGATGTGCTTTTCATTTTCAGATCAACAAAGCATTTTGAAATAGTTGCATGTGTCTGAAATTGTTGGTACCTTGAGGATCTGTGCCTGCCTGAGTTGGGAATGTCCCACAGGCTCCCTGTCCTCCTGGGGTCCCCTGGGGGTTCCCAGTGGCCTCACTAGTGACTGGAGAGAGATGAAAACCATTCAGGGACAGGCAGTGCAGCATCTGAGAGAGGGGCCCGTTTCCCATCTGAGATGCAGAGGCTGTGGGGGCTGGAACACAGGTAAATAATGTGATTTTAGGTACCATTCCAAGAATGCAAAATGTATCACATTTACATTCTTTCCCATAGCTGTTTTTTATTTTAACCACTCTTTGCATCAAAATCAGGGTCCCCATACTCTCTCAAGTGCTTTTGTGACGTCAGCTCACACAGCTACAAGAAACCAGTGCCCTTGGCAGTCCGGGCAGTCCCCAACAGAGCAGTCACACAAGTATTCTGTGTCCCCTCCCCCCTGCCCTCCCAGCACCCCCTTCCTCTTGATCTCAGCTTCTCCAGCCCTGCCTGCAATGCTGTCTCTTACTTTTTCAAGCACTTGACATCCTTCATCTGGACCTCAGCTTTGAAACTCAAAGATAACATTTGTTCTGTTCCTAAGTGATAACGTCCCTCCAGGCTGAAGGGTTGCATTTATCTCCTGCCCCAAATTATCACAATAAAACACATACCCACACTGTGACAGAGGTGTGCATGAAACCTGGACTGACTGACTCTGCAGCGCCTCCAGCAGATAGGTGTTTTAATGACACACCACAAGTCTGTGCCATCCCAGGTTCCAGGGATGTCCAACTGCGAATGATTCTCATAGCCATTCAGCTGGATGCTTCATACAGGTGAATCACATCTCAGCAAAGTGGGGAAAGATGGAGAAGTCACAGCAATGTGAGGACCCCACAGGAACTGAGCTTCTCTTCTGACTTGGGCTCGGCAGGGCTCGGCAGGGAGGATCTGATGTATCCAACCAATCCCCAAACACAGAACACACAATTCCTTAGGGGCCTTATTCCTACAAATGTCCATTAGCCAAGTGAGGGAAGAGAGAAAATGAGAGAGAGTTTTGTGGAAACCAGATGGAGGTCTCATTTTTTCCCCCACAAAGTAGCCCTGTGAGAACTGATCTCAGACTTGAAAGGAAGCAGCGGGGGAAAGTGACATCGAGGGCAAGTTGAGACAGTTGGATGCATTATTGCCCCTGGTCCTTATGGTGCTTTCATAAAGGGGCTTGTTCGTTTGTTAACTGCATTCACTGTCTATGCCTCGCAGAGGTGGGGAAACTGTTTTCTGCCAAGGGCCATCTGGATATTCATCATACCATTTGTGGATATATAATGTTATCAAACCTAACAGAATCAGGCTGTGGATGAAGTGCTGAGGTCCAGCCAGACCTAGCAGCTCCTCCTGTAATCAGCCAGGACTTAAGAGCTGCGGTTTTGGAGAAGCAGCCATTGGTACTGGGCAAAATGAATGAGATCAGAGATGGTTCTGGGTACTGAATGGCATGTTCTCTGTTGTCACAAACTGTTCTCAGTTTCCTTGGAAGGCAGGTGGGGAGGGAGCAGAATTGGAGTCCTGGCTTTCCCGCTTTCTTGTCCCCACCCTTCCTTCTTAGGATAGATCTGAGCCATAGGTACCCGGCTTGTCATGCCCAGCCACCCACACCCGTGTCCCTGCTCACGGCTACAGCAGAGTCTTTGGTAAGGTGTATGAGGGGACACAAAGGGTTGCTGGGAGCTGAACCCAGAAGCCACACACTGTTGCTCAAGCCAGGAAGGAAGCGCCACACAGGAGAACATAGTCTTTCCCAATTACTGTGCAGGTCAAGTTCACCCAACCCTCCTACACGATTTCTACCCCTTTGTGTTGCTATGGCTGTGACCATCCACTAGGAGTGCTGGCTGCTACAGGGCTCCAGCAGAAAGTTGCAGATCCCTGTCCCTGTTCCTCACCACTGTCCCACCAAACGGACCACTTTGTCCCTCCACAACCCCTCTTCTTCCAGGAGGAAAGCTTATACTTGCCCATGTGGCACTCACCACGTGGGACTGTGGAAGGTTTGGCTTGTCGGCCATTTTGACAAGCCACTCCATTCTCCCTCCCGCTCATTGCTGTCTCATCTCGACTCTCCGGGATTGAGGCAGAGGTACGGGGAAAGGGAAAAGGGCATCTGAGACGATTTACTTCCATCCTCCTCCTCGTTTACATGCAGTTTGCAATTCCAGATTTAATTCTTTCTGGCACCTCTTTGTGAGATCCTCAGCCATGTCTCACAGGGGACTCCAGGATTCATGTCCAAGCAGCTGGCCAGTCTCCCATTCTCCTCCTGTCTGGATGTGAGACAGTGCAAATGTCCTGGGGACATCTGTCTGTCTGGCTGGCTGAGGGTCCCCTGAAAGCCCCCTCCATTGGCCTGAGGGGCAAAGGTCTTGCTCCATCTCCTGTGCACTTGAGTCATGGGAGCTTTAAACAAGGCCTCACTCCCTAGGTCCCCCTGCTTTACCATCCATCCCTGTCTGACATGTGCTCACTGCAGGTGTCGGGCTATCACTGGCAGAACCAGGGATCCTCAGCAACACCTCCATCCCATGACCATTGGCACATCATGCACAGATGTTCCAGTGCCTTCATTTCCTGAGGTGTCTGGTGTGTCTCCATGCCAGCTGTGCAGTCCCAGGAGATCACAGGCTCATTTTAGCATCCTGCCATAAAACTGCGTTTGGTACTGATGACACACTTGGCTCTGCTTGAGTTGGTAGTAGTTAATCCTTATGCCTTACACACAGACACATCCAGAAATTAGGGATAAGGTTCCTGCTCACCATGCATTCAAAACCAACCAAATTGAGGTCTGGTAGGAAAAATCCTGACCTGCACTTGCTACAACACCACCTCCCAGCAGAGAGCAGAATAACTGAGAGAAAACTCCCAAGTCCTGACTTCTCCCTGGGGAGAGAATATCTGTGTAACATCTGCCCGATGTTCTGACTTTTGGAGATGCTTCCTGGATGGCTGATATCTATTTTGTCTAACTGCAAACACAGACAGTAGTGAAAACCAAGGCTGGGACATCTGAAAACAAAAAATATAAACAGTAATGATTGGGACTTTGTGGCCAAAATCTGCAGTATCACCAGCAACCACAAGGTGGAGCTCCAGTACCATAGCTGACTTTAGTCACACTGAGCCCACAACACTGAAGACTTAACACCAGGGGGAGCTCCTGAGTGAAAAACAGAGAATTTCAGCAAAGGACACGAGCTTACAAACTCAGAGAGGATGTAACTGCAGAAAAGGAATCAGCAGAGGCCTCGGATCACCTCCACGCTGGCTGGAGAAAAGCAGAGATGAGGCAAGGCAGCTTAGTTTCAGATCTCCAGGTGCGTGCAGAATCTACAGGACTTACAGAGAAGAAGGGAAACGTGGCTTATGCAAAGAAATAAATTTCTGGAAACCGAGGCACTCTGCTTTCCCAGGCCACAAGCAGGGAGCTGGATGGGAAATGGAGCAGCTGTGACGTGAGCCAGTGTCCATACGGAATCTCGGTCTTACAAGGTAGGGATTTGTTGGTCCTGGGACTTGGGCATTTATTGATTATATTAAGTGAATGTCAAATTCAAATGAGGGAAAAATATATAGATTGCTGAATTTGATTGTGGCTACATTTTTATTTTAAATTTTTGCTTTTTTGTTCCACAGGGAGATTGCTTTCCTTTTCTTGGAAGCGTTTCATGTTGAGGTAATGGGACTCACAGGATAGTCAGAGGTGTGCCTATCTTTTCTGTTGTCTGGAAATGTTTCTATAAAACAGGTATGATTTGTTTTATTTATTTTCTTCAATGTACAATAGATTTCATTTGTTTGTGCTCCCTACTGCTTCTTGAGGTAGCTTGGACAGTTAGAAGCTTCAGAGTTTGTCAACTAATTGGAGCCTTGGGGTTGCTGCAAACAAGCCCTTCTCACACTTGCAATGTCTGTTATGTCTACGGTGTTGTCACCTCTCTCCTTCCTGACTTTGGGGATTTAAGTTCCGCCCCGAACCCCACTTCACAACCGACTTGTAGAAGAACCTGGGAGTCTTCAGCATCTCCCTTGGCCTGTCCTCAAAGCCGACCCGCTGCACAGCACAGCAGCAGGAACTGCTGTTTGTGGGGTTCACAGGAGGTGGGGAGAGTCTTGAGCAGGTCTGCACACTGCGCAGTCTGCATCCCCCAAGGCGCGTTTGAGGATGAGAGCAGAGGCCTCAGAAGCCGGCAGCCAGGCTCAGCAGCTGGACTCCGTCATCATGAGCATGTTGGTGGGGCCTGAGTCTGCTCAGGCTTCCCCATCAAAGCTCACATTAGCTATGTGTCTCTCACTTACCTGGAACCTGAGAGAATCATTCTCCCTGGAAGTTTCTCCCCATCTACAAAAACAGGGTCATTAGCCAATGTTCCAGGGCTGGTAAGAGGATTAGAACAGGTGGTTGGAAAGGGCTAGAATCCAGATGTGAATCAAGGAGTGTCTTTTGGTTTTTTTTTTTTATGTCTTTATTGGAAAAGCAGATCAAATTTACAGATAAGGACGGTCAAGAAAAAAGATCTTCAATCCACTGGTTCACTCCAAGCAAATGCCAGATTTGAGCTGCCTGAAATCAGGAGCTTCCTCTGAATCTTCCACATGGGTGCAGGGTCCCAAGGTTTTGAGCCATACACTGCTGCTTTCCCAGGTCTTAATCAAAGAGCTGAATGGGGAAGTAGAGCAGCCAGGACTCGAACTGATGCCCATATGTGATTCCTAAGCTTGCAAGGTGAAGATTTAGCCAACTGAGCCATTGACTAGATCTGGGAGTGCATTTCTGACCACAGAGACAGGGATGCTGCTGGACTGCTGCAGGTGCAAACGGATGTTGGGCCAGGAAGGTGTGGAGGGCTTGGCCGTTGAAGGCCTCTCATGCGGTTAATATGATTCCAGAGGTGGCACAGCAGCTGTGCCTGATCCTGGCTGTGGATGGCTTATGAGGGGTGCTGCCCCCCATGGTCCTGCCTGAGCTCTTGCCTGTCCCCCCAGGCTTGCTGCCTATGCTCAAGCTTGCTCTGGGGCTGAAGGCAGTGACTTTGGCCACGTTCCTGCTGGCTCTCGCTGACCCCAGGTCCAGCAGCACTGTGGACACCTCAGGTTGGGTGGGACAAGGGACAAGAGTGAGGGGTGACCACAGAGCAGGTCCTCAGAGTGAGACAGAAATCACACCTCTCTGCCTCCAGAAGCCCCTAGGTTCCCATGGCCCGCCAGACCCACATGCCTTTCAGCCTACCCGGGGAAATGACCTGTATGGCACTGGATTCTCCCTCAATGTACCTCCCTTTACCCTCTCAACCCCTTCCTCAATGCCTTCCTTTATTCATACATTCTTTTTGTCTTTCCAGATCCAAATCAGACTCTTCTTCCAAAAGGTTCCCTGGGCCTCTCTGAGTTCACTCAGTGACCACCTGTGTTTCTCCACTTACCTCCCTCTCTCTCCACTTCCTGCTCCTTCCTAGCTCCTCCTTCTCTCCTGCCCCCTGCCTGTGACTGGCTTGGTGGGTGTAATGGGTAAAAGGCAGGCTTGGCAATTGTCATTGAGATCTTAAACAACAGAGCCTGGCGCCGTGGCCTAGCGGCTAAAGTCCTCGATTTGTCTGGGTGTCTTCCCTTAAACAGAAAACAACTTGGGTTGAGCCAAAGAGGACATGAATTTAGCCCAAGAACTGAGTAAATCACAAAGTACCAGTCATGAAAAGGGCTGACGTGGAGGCTGAGCAATGCCACCCCCATCGCCCTGAGACACCCAGGGCTTAATCTCTGCAACCCATGACCTTAGATGACAAAGGAAGAACTTTCCAGATATGTTGACTTAAGAATCTCAAAAAAAGCATGCTGATTACTTGATTAAGGGCCCTAAAACGGAGTGGCCATTGAATGTAATCACAAGGATCCTTGAGATAGAGAGAGATGTGTCAAGCTTTGATGCCTGGCCCTGTGGCCACCTTGACCTCTGACCTCTGGCCTCCAGAACTGGGAGGGAAAACACCGCTGCTGTAAAACCACTAAGCTCATAGTCTTTTTTTTTTTTAAAGATTTATTTTTATTATTTTTTTCATTGGAAAGGCGGATATACAGAGAGGAGAGACAGAGAGGAAGGTCTTCCGTCCGATGATTCACTCCCCAAGTGAGCGCAACGGCTGATGCTATGCCAATCTGAAGCCAGGAGTCTCTTCTGGGTCTCCCACATGGGTGCAGGGTCCCAAAGCTTTGGGCCATCCTCGACTGCCTTCCCGGGCCACAGGCAGGGAGCTGGATGGGAAGCGGGGCTGCCGGGATTAGAACCAGCGCCCATATGGGATCCCGGGCGTGCAAGGCGAGGACTTAACCACTTGCGCCACCGCGCCGGGCCCAGCTCATAGTCTTTTGTTGCAGGAGCTGCAAGAAGCCAATAGAGCATGGGAGCAGGGAGCCAGTCCCCTACGCTCCCCGGAGTTCCTTAGCTGCCCCAGGATGTCTCTTACCTCATCTCCCCTTAAATCTACCCTGCTCTGGCAGCCCAACCTCCCCCTGATCTTGGGCTCGCTAATTTATTCAAGTCTGTGTGTAGTATTTTCCTTCAGTGGCCTGTCTAGAATATTCTGTGTGTAACAGCACTTCAAGCACTCTTGGTTCCCCTATACCATTTCTGATTTCTTCACAGAACCTTAGAAAAGTGTATATGCAGGGTGCTGCACAATGACCTGGTGGCTACATCTTCACACACAGTGATGACTGGAATGGATGCTACAACAGGGATCCAGTCCAGAGCAGAGCCTGTTCTTCTCCCGTGTTGAGCAGCTCCTGGAGTCCCTCCTGCTGCTGCTGGCTGAGGGAGTCCCTGTTGAAGCTAGTGCAGAGCCAAACTACAAGCCAACCATATTCCGGGCGCTGGGTTCCTGGCTTTGGGCACACAGCTCACAACCACAGATCCTTCTCCACGTTGGGCTCCCAAGTGGGAAATCAGCAAGAAGACTTCAAGATGACCCAGAGGTCCAAGTGGAGGGGCTCAAGCTCCAGGCAAGAAGGAAGTGTTGATTTTGCTGGGCCTGCCACAGTCTGAAAATGGACAGTGCAACTCCTAGCCTTGTGGTCAGAAGCCGGAAGCTGTTGTACCCACTTCCTCTTGGGGTGAAGCACGCCAAGACCTCTTCTCTCCCCAGAGCAGCCCGGGATCCCTGCCAGCACAGACATTCGGACCAGGCAGGCTCCTCAGGTCTGCGCCATGCCTGCCCCTGCCTCCCAGCCACACCATCCTCATCCTTTCCTGCTGCTGATTCTACTGTTGGAATTAACAGGTGAGTCCGCTAAGAAACACATGATTCACCCTCCTGCTGCTTTCCTAGGTGCGTTAGCAAGAAACTGTATCAGAAGTCTGGCAGCTGAGACACAAAGTGGTGCTCCTATGGCGTGCCAGTGCTACAAATGGCTGTTTATCCTACTATGCCACAGCACTGGCCTCCACATTTTACATGTTTCATTTTTAAGATTTATTTATTTGTTATTTTGCTGTTGTTGTTCGAGATAGAAACAGAGAGAGGAAAAAAAGGAAAAATCAGAGCAAGATTGGCCTTCCATTTGCTGGCTCACTTCCCACGTGCCTGACACTGCTTGAGCTGGATCAGGTGGAAACCAGGAACTAGGGCTACATTCAGGTCTCCTGTGTGAGTTGCAGGGTCCCAAACACTTGGGTTAATTGTCTCTGTTTTCATAATGCATTTTCAGGGAGCCAGACTGTCAGTGGAGCATCCTTGATAGGACTCAGAGGCTCTATGGGGTTCTGGCTTCAGTCTATGACCTAACCTGCTCTGCCAGAATGCCAGCCCTTTCCCAAGTGCCAGACACTGTTGCAAATGCCTAGGGGCCCTTCTGAATGTGTGTCTTATGCCCAATGGACTCTGATCACCCTGCCTGACTGGTAAGGACACAGAAGTGCACCAGGAGCTGCAGGTCCCCCAGAGGCAACGGGGAGAGCTGGGGTTTGACCTCGGGCAGACAGATGCAGAGCCCACAGGATTACCTGTTACTTTTCTCAAACACTCCTGAGCTCGTGAGGGTTTATTCCCTGAAATCTCTTCAACTTTTTCTATCAGTGAGAGGAGAGAAAGGCCACCAGGGCTAGTGGTGGCCTGGTCACATCCACTGGTCACTTCCTGCATCTATGCAAATTGATTTTTTTTTTTTTTTTGCCAGTCATCTGCCTGGGGAAGTCCAGTTCTGACAGTCCTATAGAAAGGATTCATGGGAAATAGTTTTCAGTGTCCCAGGAGGGTGTCACCCTGGAGTGATGACTCTATGGGGGACAGATAATGAGGTACCTGTTATGTGCCAGGAGCTGTGACAAGACCTTGGGTGCATTGGTGGATAAGCACAAAGTACTTGTCCTGTGTACCTTGTGTCCCTTAGGGGAGAATTACAGTAATCAATGCACACAGTATGGAGGTAACTAATATGAAATACTAGCCATACTGAAGGCTCAGAAAAAAGTAGGTATAGCTGGGAAAGAGAATTGGGGTCTGTGAGGGGAAATGGATTGAAAACAGCGTAACCTACATGTGCTTCACAAGAAGCAAATCTGAGCAAAGATCTCACACAGGTGTGGGGGTGAGCAGGTGGTTGATGGGCAGAGCCTTTCTAACAGGAAACAGCTGGTGCAGATCCGATTTAGACATTGCAGCAAAAGATTGACTTCCTGTGCTACCATGCCAGCCTCATCTAATAAAAAAAACTTGTAATCAGTTTGCTACAAAAGTAATATTCTGCTACTGAAATTTCAAAGGAACTTTAAAATTACCAGCTTGTGTGTCATTAACAAGAGTTTCAAATGAATGGCTTGGAAGAGACTGATGACCCAGTAATGCCCCATCTATATCACAGGAAAAAGGGACTGTGTTGAGATCTTATCTGCAAATATTACATCTGATGACAAAACTGTTGAGGGCTCCCTTATGTGTCCTGAAAATGAGAGAGTGTACCCCTTCAGAGGTGGAGGCCGATGCCAGCTAAGAGGTTATTTTATAAGAGAACATGTTTACCAGTCTATGTTTGCCAAGAACTTGACAGAGTAGAATCAGTGGATTAATAATATTAGTGAGTGCATATGAAGGCCCTGGCAAGTGGAACAAACCGGTATTCATCATAAAGGAATGCATCATGAGATACCTTTAATTTTTTCCCAGTATTAACATTGAATGAAATAGCAGGGGTCAGCATTTATGGAATAGTCCCTATTGTACGGGTTCATGCCCCAGTTGCTCCTCTTCTCACCCAGTCACCTGCTACTGACTGGTAAGACAGCAGAAGAAATTCCAAGTACTTGGGCCCTTGACACCCATGTGGAAATCCTGGAGGGGTCTTCTTCCCTAGCCTGTCTAGACTTGGCTGTTGTGGCCACTGGGGGTAAACATGATGGCTCCAGATGGAATGTGTCAATCTGTTTCTCCTTCTCTGAAACTCAGGCTTTCATATGAATAAGTGATTCCTTAAAATAAATAAATTTTAAAAATTAAGAATCATTGGGAATAATCAACTAGTTTTAAATTTGATGTAATAAATTTGAATCCTTAAAATATTTCATTTGATTGATTCTGAAACTCACTATTTTAACTGAAAAATTCATAGGGTTCTATTTATCAATTTATAAGAGTCAAATATTTTATTTTATTTATCATCCTTTGTGTTAGGATTTCTTTGCCCAGTTGGAATATTTTAGGGCAAGTGATCCTAAGACTGACACACACTTCCTGATGTAGCAGGTTCCCATGAGGATGGATAGATAAGGTCTCTGTCTCCTCCCCCAGCAGGGGCAGCAGAGGAGCTGCAGGTGATTCAACCTGACAAGTCCGTGTCAGTGGCAGCCGGAGACTCAGTGATCCTGCGCTGCAGAGTAAACACCCTGCTGCCCGTGGGACCCATATACTGGTTCAGGGGGGCTGGGCCAGACCGGAAGATTATCTATGACTTCAAGGGAGGCCAGTACCCCCGAGTGGCAAACCTCTCAGACACCACAAAGCGACAGAACATGGACTTTTCCATCCGCATCAGTGACATCACCACAGCAGACACAGGCACCTACTACTGTGCGAAGTTCCGGAGAGTGGATACAGGTGATGTGGAGTTTAAGTCTGGACCGGGCACACAGGTGTCTGTGCAAGGTGAGTGCCCCACAGGTTTTCATTGGTGTTTGGCAGGTGGTAACAGTCCCAGGTTATCAGTAACACCCTCCACTCTGTGGGCAGCCCCTGAGAACCAGTAACAGTGTGGAAAACTCATTGTACCAACCTGATGTCATCCCTTCTACAGATGAGGAAAGGTGAGACTGTGAGGCTGTGCTAGCTGCTCAAGGCTGTCAAGCTCGGAAATGGGTGGACACTGCTCCCTGGTCTGCAGGGCTCCCTGGCCCATGCCCTCTGCAGCCTGGTCCAGGCTTCCCTTTCATCCAGTAGAGGTTGAGAATAGGCGATCTGTGGAACACAGGCCTCACCTGCTTCCTCAGGGAGATTGTCCCCTCGGGGTGGTGCAGCTTCTCTTCACCTAGCAGGCTTGGGGCACACCAACTGTGCGCCTTGCTCCCCTGGGATGCACACTGGGCACTGTCACAGTCCACTCTTCCCATGATCCTTGGGCAAAGGAAAGACAGTTGCTACACAAGGGACACTGAGGTCCCCTAGGGTATCTATCCCCTTCTCTGATTATTCCACCCTCAAGGGTGCAGGTGAAACCAGGTCTGTGGACTCCATGTCTGCTGCTGTGTTCTCAGTGACGCTTAGGGAGAAAAGGGGGGCTGAATATAGGACTTGCTCATGTGTCATCCCCTGAATCAGCGGGCAGTGTAGGCACTGAAAACGGGCGCCCAGGCTCCAAGAGGAAGCTGGGGACACAGCAACCAAGGGGCACACCCTGCAAAGGGTGCATGGGGGATGAGGGCAGGGCCTGGGTTATCTCAGCTTCAGATTCCTCATTTGTGAAATGGTGATCAGTAGGGGCTGCTTTTGGAGAGTGGGAAGGATTTGGGGTATCTCAGGGAGTCCCCAGCACAGAGCAGTCACCCCTGAATCCAGGGTTGTTGCCAGGGTGTGTGATCCTGGGCAGGTCCTGGCTTCCCCACTGTGAGATGTGGATGATATGGCTGCCATGTAGAGCCCCAGGCATGCCTGGATCAGAGCTGGCCCTGAGCGTCATCTGGAGGCACTGGTTAGGGGGTCCACACCTGCCTGGCACCTTCCCAGCCTAGGTGGGGACACTAGGGTCTCCCAGAAAGGCAAAAATTCCCATTCCCCCTCCCGCAGCATGAGATGAGAGCAGTGCTAAGGGCTTCAGTCAGTCCATGTGGTCTTGGGTCTGTCACTTTCTTCTCAGGCCTCAGGTGGACAGGGGTTGGGCAGGCTGGGCTAACTCCACCTCTTCTGCTCTTTAGAATCTCACACCTAAGCAAGCTGAGAGCCAGGGCAGCTGAAATATTAATTATACCAGAAAATGCTAGAACAGAGCCAGGGCTCCAAAGCCTGAGGTCACAGAAGAGTGGTGCCTTTCCACCTGCACAATGGCCCCTGGGATTGTCCTTGAGAACAGCTTTGAGGGTGTGGATGCTTCATGATAGCAGGAGCCTAGGCAGCATTTATGAGACCCCGAGGCCTGGCAGGGACTGCTCCCACACACAGCCAGGACACACCTGCTCAGATCCAGCCTCAGCATATGAAATCTGCTCGTGTCTGAACAGCAGGAGACCCGTATCCCTCACCCTTACACACACCCTATAGCTCCTGCACAGCCTGTAGCCACAGACCTGCCCCTTGCACAGCCCTCAGGACCCTGTGGGATCTGGCCCCTTGCCTAGCATGAGCACACCTAAGGCACCTGTGACCATGCTGGGTTTTTTTTATTGTTATTAACATTGTATTATGTGATACAGTTTTATAGGCACTGGGGATTTCCCTCACCCCTCCAACACCCCTCCCCCCATAGTGGATTCCTCCACCTTGCTGCATAACCACAGTTCAAGTTCAGTTGAGATTCCTTCATTGCAAGCATATACCTAGCATAAAGTCCACATGCTGGGGTTTTACAAGGCAGCTCCCAGCCTGCACACCTGAGGATCTTTAAAGGAAGAGGGCGAGATCTCCCTAGGCAGTTTCTTCTGTTTGTGTTCGGCTTCTGTTGCCACTGGACAGGTCAGAGTTGAGCTCTCTGATCTTGGTTTGGTGCCCACAAGAGGAGATCCCTGGTTCCTCTCGCTTCCCAGGGACCACAGGTCTGGCACCTGCTCGAATGCTTATGGAAAGGCAGAGTTGTTCATCCCTGCAGGGAGAGCTCTGGATAGAACCAGACCCAGGTGACAGGAAATCTGCAGCGTGCAGCATCTTGGGTGCTGCAACGAAGGGCATGGTGCTCCTGGCTTCACGTAGACCTTCTGCAGCCCTTGGGGAGAAACACCTACTGTTCTGTTTCACAGACATAGAGCCATCATGTGTCCAGTCCACCTCCTGGGGGGCAGGTGTCCTGACTCCAGCCACAAGGGCAGCAGTGCTGAGCCACTGTTCCTGCAGGTGCTTATGGAAAGTTCTGTGTAAGTTTTGTTGGACAGGCGGCATCACAGAGACAGCAGCCAGGACTGTGTTCCTGAGCAGGGCTGGGGAGTCAGGCCTAGCAGGGAAGGACTTGCTCACGGTCAGACCTTAAGCATCCTGCCTCTCTGTGAATGAGAATGAGGGCCTGCTGCCCAGCATGATGCATGGACATGGCCTTTGCGTCCCTGGCCTGTGGTAACCATGGTCATCACTATCTTATTTCCTGTGTGTGAATGCTCCTTTTGTAGCCAAACCCTCCAACCCTGAAGTGACAGGGCCCATGGCCAGGGCAGCCCCTGAGCAGACCGTGAGCTTCACCTGCAAGTCCCATGGCTTCTCCCCCCGCAACATCAGCCTGAGATGGTTCAAGAACGGGAACGAGCTCTCGGCCTTGCAGACGAGCGTGGAGCCCACGGGAGAGAGCGTTTCCTACAATGTCTTCAGCACCACGCAGGTGGTCCTGGCCCCTTGGGATGTGCACTCTCAGGTCATCTGTGAGGTGGCCCACGTCACGCTTCAGGGGGGCCCTCCTCTTCGTGGGACTGCCAACTTGTCTGACACCATCCGAGGTAGATTCCCACAGCCCCTATCCATGTCCATATCTGACCGGCATGTTTTTTCCCTGCCAGCTTTGCTTGATGCCTCAGTTGCTTCATCCAATTCTCAGCAGACCTGTCTACTCACCTTGCACCTAGGGGTGCTGGTCACTTCCTGTCCTCTCAGTGACAGCTGCCATTGAACACCTGCCTAGCACTATGTAGATGGCTCTACTTATCCTCCTGATAGCAGGGTTCTAGCAAGCACCTGTGTGGGCCAGGCCCCTGTGCTCGGTGATGTAAGTGCAGAGGCTCTTCTACCTGCATCAAAATTTTGGGCTTGTTGAGTCACTCAGTGACACCCTGTTAGGAGTTCCCTGTCCTTAGCTCCTCTGCATGTACTGCTGCCACTTGCATGATGAGTCCCTTCATGTTTGAGTGCCTGCTACATGCCTGGCCCTGTTTCAGTGGTGCTCTCATCCTGGTAAGCCTCCCTAGTGAACTGGGGGCCCTGTCACTCAGCCCCTTCTCCTCCAGCATCTGCACGTACTATTTCAGTTCCCCCCAACATTGAGGTCACACAGCAGCCCATGGGGGCAGGGACCCAGGTGAATGTCACCTGCCACGTGGACAAGTTCTACCCCAAGAGCATGCGGCTGACCTGGCTGGAGAATGGAAACGCGTCCCGGCCAGAGACATCCTGGACAGAGGTGGAGAACAAGGACGGGACCTACAACCGCACGAGCTGGCTCCTGGTGAACAACTCCGTCCACAGGGAGGACATGGTGATTTCCTGCCAGGTGGCGCATGACGGGCAGCCGGCAGTCACCAGAAAGCACAAACTGCAGGTCTCGGCCCAGCCCAAGGAGCCCGACTCAAACACCAACATCAGTGATGGTGAGGCCACCCCTCAGGCTGGCCTGGCTGTTATGAAATTTTATTTTAACTTTATCCTTTTTTCAAAATATGTGAGAAGTAATAGTCCTCCTTCTTGTAGAGTTATCTAGAAGATTGTAAACATCAAGCAGAGTTTTAAAGCCAGCTCCCTCCTCCAAAGCCATACTCCAAGAGTCACCATGGCTCAGAGGTTGGGACATGTCATGACGTCCTATTGCTGTTCTGGCATCAGCAGCTGGAGGAACCCATGTGAGTGGCAGGCGTTTCCTGGAGAAGCAGGAAGAGGCCACTCTACTGTCCTGCCACAGGCATCTCTCAGGGCTTTATAGAATACCCCATGAGAACCATGGGCCTCCAACAATCATTTTAGAAGCTAGAATTTTTATGAGTTGAGTTTTCTTAGCAGCTTAGAACTATACATTGCATTCATTTCCTATTGTGCAAATGGTGATAGATGATGCTTTCTCTGCAGCATGAGACACAAATGACAGGGCATGGGGACCCCCTTCACCAGGTTCTGCTTTGGGCTTCAGTCAGGTCAGGATGCAGGGTCCAGCAGCCTCAGATGGGCCAGTGAGGGTCCTCCAATGGCTGCTCCTCTCTTCTGATCTCCAGGTGAGGTGTCATCTCCTGCTTCACTCTTCATAGCTCTCCTGCTAGGTCCCAAGGTGCTGCTGGTTCTTGGAGTCTCTGCCATCCTTGTCTTCAAGAAGCAGAAGACCTCAGGGTAAATTGTGGGAGAGGGAGGGCAGGGTCAGCAGGCTGGCCCAGGGGACATGTCCACAATGTCAGGGCCAGCCAGGTCTACACAAGAATGCAGGTGTCGTATGCCACCTTGGGGATCTGCTGCAAGGTGCCCAGTTTGCAAGAAGTGTATGAACTGCCAGAGGTAGGCTAAGTCAAGGGGTTTCACATGAGGCATGGGACTACAGAGTCCCAGGTGGGGAGGATAAGTTCTTTGCAGGCTGCTTTTCCATTAGCTGGATTCTGGAGTAAGAGTTGTGTCTCATTTAAAGGAATGTCAGAAGCTCCAGGCTAGCTGACTCAAACAGAAAGAAAAGGGACAGGAAAGGAGGAGCTAAGGATGAAGGCTGAGGGCCAAATGCCTATCTCAGGGGCTGCCCATACATTCCCACAGGCATCCAGGGCCAGCAACTGCAAGGACAGCGCAGAGCCAGCAGACAGCCCAGAGCCAGCGGACAGCCCGTGAAGATGAGCAGTGATCCCTGTGGAGCATTTTATCGCAGCTGTTCCAGTCCTCTCCTGCCACAAGGAAACCTGTTCTGAGGGGCTCAGCCCAAGAGAAGAAATCCTTGAGAAGCTTCTGTAAACTCTGCTCACCTCCCTTTCTGTGACATCCACCTGTCCATGGCTCCTACTCCTCCTTCCCAGTTTCCTGGACAGCTGGGTCTGCATTTGTGGTGCTGGCAAGGGCCAAGGTAACTGGCTCTGGACCCTGACTCTTGGCACCTCTCCAGGAACTGAGCAACAAGGCAGCTCTAAAGCGTCAGAACACCTCTTGTCACCTTGGGCTTGGCCTTAAGCCACACAGGTTCTGGTTAACCCTTTCTAGAGCTAGTCCATCTGGGACCATGCTTGGTGCAGCAAGTAAGATGCTGCTGGGGACGCCTGTACGTCTGGTCAGAGTACTTGGTTCAAGTTGCAGCTCTGATTAAAGCTTTCTGTGACTGTGTCCCCTAGAGGCAGCGGGTGATGGCTCCCTGCCAGACCACACGGGAGACCAGACAGAGTTCTGACTCCTATCTTAGTCCTGGCTCAGTTCTGGATGCTGTGGGCATTTGGGTTTGACCCAGCTAATAGAAATGTGCTCTCTCTCTCTCAGTATCTCTATCTCTCCTTCTCCCTCTGTTTCTCTCTGTCTCCCTCTCCCATTATCCCTCTCTCTCTCTCTGTCCCTCTCTCTGTAACTCTACCTTTCAAGTAAATAATTTCTTAAAAATAAAAAAATCATCGCTTTTCTGCCTTTTGGCTAAGATCAAGTGTAAACATAAATTAAAAATTTAAAGAAAAGCATGCAAAACCCAGTGGTGAGGTAGTGATATCTAACAACTGACAGAACAGATTAATAAAGATTAATTCTGGGGATGAAAATACTTCCCACATGGATAGCTTCAGGCTACCAACAGTTTACCATCAGGTGGCAAAACTCCTGATACCTCACCAGCGAATGTAAGCCCATTCCAGTGGTGGAGGGGCTAAGGATTCCCTTTTTTTTTTATTATTTTTTTAAAGACTTTCTTTTGTTAGGAATGAATTCCTCCTCTGTTGAATTGCTTGGCCTGTTGGAGAAAGCTGTCCGTTTGGGACTTTGTTTCTGAATTCTTTGTTGTTTTCCATTGGTCCGTGTGTCTGTCACTTGCCACTGCCATGCACTTCTGACTACTGCATCTGAACTACGCTTAAAATGGAGTGCAGTAGCCCTCCTGTTTTCTTCTGTTTTCAAAACTGTTTTACACTCATCTCTCTTTCCTTCTCCTAGTCTGCCTGTATACATGCTTGAAAGATTTCATCTGTACCTACAAACCTATGGCTGAGATGTTGATAGGCATTGTGTTAAACCCATATATCACTTTTATATTGCCACTGTGTAGATTGTTCCAATTCACCCACACAACGGGTCTCCCTGGATGGTTCTTTGTAGGTGTCAACTAACTTGATTAAACTAAGGGTTACTCAGAGGACAGGTAAAGCATATTCCTAGTTATGTCTGGGAGGGGCTTTCCTGAAGAAATTGGTATTTGAATCAACGTATCATTGGACTGAATGAGAAAGCTCTACTATCATTCAGTGTGGGTGGGCACTGTAGAGTCCCCTGAGGGTACCCACAGAACAAAAAGGCTGAGGACAGATAAAGCCACTGTCTGTGATGCTACCCTCCCCTGTGGGTGCTGATTCGAGACCACGCTGCTCTGCTTCAGAGCCAACTCCCTGCTGATGGCTTGGGAAAAGCAGCAGAGGATGGCCCAGGTGTCTGGGTGCCTGACATCCACGTGGGAGACCCAGAGGAAGCTCCTGGCTGCAGCCTGGCCCAGCCCTTGCCATTGCCATTACAGTCACCTGTGGAATAAACCAACGGATGGAAGTACTTTACATCTGCCTTTCTCTCTTTCTCTCTGTGTAACTCTCTCAATGAAAATAAATACATTTTTTTTCTTGAAAAATGAATTAAGGCTGAGGACAGGTATGTTCAGTCTGTTGTCTGGAGCTGGGCTGCCTGTCTTCTGTTCTTAGCCATCAGTATCTGGAGTTCTGAGGCCTTCAGGCATGGAGTGAGGGATCGACAATGAACTCTGATTTTTCCAGTCGGCAACAAGCAGATTGTGGAACTTCTCGGCTTCTATAATTCTTTGAAGCAATCTCATATCAAGTACCCTCTGATCTGTGATGCTTTAGTTCATAGTTCTTAGTTCTTTCTTTCTATCCCATTAGTTCTGGTTTTCTGGAATACTCTGGATAATAAGCTACCTAGTATTTGAATATTCTACGATTTTTTTTTCTGCAATGTCTGAAACACCAGTAATCGCCCAAATCTGTTTTCATCCTAATCCATCCCCAATGGTTGTGAGCAGCCATGTTGTTGCGCTTGTCCCTGAGACAAGATCCATCAGCATTGAACTCCAGCTCAGAGCTACAGGTGTCACAAGGCCCAAAACTCAAATCTGAACCAGCAAAACTTCTGGTCTAGAGGCCGGCCTCAGAATCGGACTCTCTCACCCTGGATCTCAGCCTCCCAGTCAGAGTCAACAGTGGAGGGGCCCTGACCATCCACTGGAGGACAGCTGTCACCTAACCACAGCAGGCAACAGGTCAAGGAGATGATGGGCGTTTCAACTCAATAGGCAAGACCAATGTGGAAAAGGAATCACTGGGTTACGTAAACAAACAAACAAACAAAAAACCAGTTATTTATTTTATACAGTCCATTGGCTCTGGGATTTCCCCACCCTCCCCTTCCCCCCAATTTCCCCTGCCCTCCCCTTCCCCCCGATTTCCCCTATGCTATTACAGTAGTACAGTCCTTCATAAATAGTCATCAGTCTGTCACTCTGCTATTTAAGTGTATCCTGACATTTTAGGTATGGACAGTGCCAGAGAGTCCAGCATCCTATTGTCAAGATATATTTAACAGTCTCATTGGAAGTCCATGTTTGATTTGGAAGTAGATGCATAAAATGAGTAGTGGCTCTAACATCTATTTCAAATATCTGCTTCCCCTAGGTTGGCTTCCTTAGGCTTCCAGTCCTTCCGGGTCAAATTTTGTTTTCTGGGAGTCTGTTGTAACTTTGTAACCTTGTTTGCACCAATCTGCTATAATCTCATTGTGCCTCACTTGACAACCACGCCCACCAAACCCTCGCCCTCTCTTTCCCTAATCTCCACAGTACCTAACAATCCCCTGTGGCCCTGACAATCCTATCCACCAATCCCTCCCAGCCCCATGACGCCTGCCCCCGACCACAAAAAATGGTACACTCCTGGAGAGTGTGTTCCTTCCTGTGCTGCCCCTTCCCCCTCAGGCTCTTCCATTCTTCTTCACCTTGCTCCAGGCTTCCCTTTTAGCCGCCTCCTGTCACCATGGCACCTCTCTCCCTCTGCCTCTTCTCCCATCCCTATCCTGCTGGAATAAAAGACGTCCTAGATGCCTTTCTGCATCTATTGTTTTGGCTTATTGTGGCAAATTTATCCTGAAGAGAACTTAGCTTCATGAAAGGACTAACACATACTGCACTGTGTCTTCACATCTGGATAATATAGTCTTTATTACAGGTACTATACACATCCTTAAATTTTAAAAAAGGCAAAATAAAAATAAATAATTTTTTAAAAATCACACCAATAGGAGAGCTGGCCATGGGTGCGATTTGGGTCAGCTCCTCTTTCTCCACCACAGAGGAATCCTCAGACAGTCCAAGATCATCATCCTGAGACCGAACTACAGATCGCCCCGTCCCTGGAATACATAGAGGAGAAGATGTGCGGGTGTGTATTGCCCATCGCTCCTACAAGGCACTCAGGATAGAGTCCAACTGCCCAGAAATCCTACAGGACAAAACAGAATGGATGCTTCTCCTGACAAACTCTGAAAGTGGAAGAAACAGAGATTTTTTCATTCAGTAAAAATGAGCCTTTGCTTAGAACATTAAGGTTTCAGTTTTTAAATAATGTTTTTTTGATTCTTTGTAAACATATTTATTTGTTTGAAAGGTAGAATGATAAGGGGAGAGACCAAGAAAGGAGGAACTGTTTTGGCCTCTGAATTGTGTAAAAGATTTATATGCAGAAGAATAGGGAGAGAGAAATTTTCTATCTGCCGGTTCACTCCCCAAATGGCTGCTCTGGCAAAAGTTGGGCCAAGCTAGAGCCAGGAGCCTAAAGAGCCATCGATCTAACACATAGGTGGTAGGGCCCCAAGCACTTGGCCCATCTTCTGCTGCCTTCCTGGGCACATTAACAGGGAGCTGGATGTGGTATCAAGCAGCTGGGACTGCAATTGGTGCATCAATTTATGGGATGTGGTAGCTTAACCCACTGGGTAGCAACATTGGTCCCGCTTGATCCCTTTCTTAAAAGAGAAAATAAGTCAGGGAGGAAGGAGAGAAGGAGAAGAAAAAAGGATAAGTCAAAAAGTAAAGAAAATCTTTTTGGGCACAGCAGCCTGCAGGACTGGGCTTGGCTGAGTGTTGGGCTCTTCAACCATAGACCAAGGAGCTCCTCCTTACAGAAAGCGTTTAAGCATCACGTACACTGCTTTAATCGGCCACTGCTTTGGGAATACTCTCTGAACATTCTCTCCGCCCCCGCCCCCGGCTTTTTGCTTTTGTGGTTTTCTACTGTTTTGTCCTCAACCTTGGAGATGCTGTCCCTTCCATGCCCCATGACATGCATTCCTCACTTCTGCTCTGGGCTTTTGATTCCCACCATGTCTCTTTTTCTTGCCTTAGAATTTCAGCCTTGCGGCTTTCATTTCCTCACTGTTCCAGCCTGTTTTCTACTTTTCCTTCCAAAGCACTTTGCATATTGTGGTTTCATTTATTTTCTCAATTCTGGTCTGGCAATTGCAACATTTCTGCCATACACTACTTTGGTTCTGGTTCCTGTTCCATGTTCCCATGGTGTATTTTGCTTTTCAATAGCCTTGTCGCGTATCCTAATAGCTGGAGTTGACATACGTGCTAAAGCTAACTGCCATCAACAGGCCTTCTGTGGTGTGGTGGGGAGGAGGGAGCATCCAAAGTCCATGACTAGGGCTTTTGGTTAGCAGTGTGCTGTGAATGTCACAAGGGCATCACCATGTCCCCCACTCTACCCTGCCACATTAGAAGGACCAGGATGGCTGGGGGAGCTGGAGCTGTGTAATTTTTAGCCACCATGTACAAGAATAGGAAGGTACAGTGACTCCTAGGCATTACCTGCTTGGATCAAGGTCTTCGTCCTGGCTCTCTCCTCACTCTCATGGCACACGGTGGTGACTGGAATGGGTTCTACAACAAGGATCTGGTCCAGAGCAGACCTGGTTCTTCTCCCGTACTGAGCAGGTCCAGGGGTCCCTCCTCCTGCTGCTAGCTTATAGGGAGTCCCTGTTGAAGCTGGCACAGAGCCAAGCCACAAGCCAACCACATTCCAGGGCTTTGGAAGTTGGAGTACAGCCTACAACCACAAATCTTTTCTGTGTGGGACTCCCAAGTAGGAAGTTAGCAAGAAGACTTCAAGATGCCTCAAAGGACAAAATGGAAGGGGTTCACACCCTAGGCAAGAAGGAAGCACTGCTTCTGCTGTCCTAATGTCTCTGAAAATCAAGAATGAGAAACTACAAGCCATGCAGCCGGAAACTGTTTGCTATTGCAGCTAGTTCCTCTCGTGGTGGTGTGGCAGGCACAGCACTCTTCCCTCCCCAGAGTAGCCCAGGATCCCTGCCAGCACAGACCTTTGGACCAGGCAGGCTCCTCAAGTCTGCGTCATGCCTGCCCCTGCCTCCCAGCCCCACCATCCTCATCCTTTCCTGCTGCTGACTCTACTGCTGGAACTGACAGGTGAGTTCTGCTGGGGAGCACATGATTCATCCTCCTGCCCAGCAACTTCCAGGGACTCCCGGACAGAGAATGCTGTGAAAGGCCAAGGGCTGGGCATTGCTGAGGACAGAGAAAGGGGAACTGGAGCATTTTCTCTGCAGCAATGGCCAGAGCATCAAAGCAGAAATGCTGAAGCCATGGCAGTAGTAATTATTACTTACACTCCCATCATATTTTTTCTTGGCAGGATTATTTCAGAAGGGTTATCGTTTCAATTCTCACAAGGCATGAGGGTTCAAGTGGCCATACCATCTGCCTATGACCACAGAGTGAGCTCAGAGCCAGCTGCCAGCACTGCTTGGCTCCCGGCCAGGGATTTGGTTTCTGCAGCCTGGGGAGCCCCTGTTCACAGCTCCCACATACCCCTCCTCTCCTGTGCCGTGGTGCTGACCCCAGAGTGCTGGCTATTCTCCACCTGGGGCTTGCTGTGATGCCACCCCCTCCCCCAGGGCTGAGAGAGCAGGAGTCTAGCTTCGCAGAGTGTCCCTGTGATACACGCTGCATGAAGGCTGGTGGCAGGGGCTCTGTGGTGGGGCTCTTCTGGCAGGACAGGCTTAGTCTTCAGCACTCCATGTGCTCACAGCCTCCCAGTATCCTATCCCTTCCCTAATTACCTCATCCACTCCCACTGCTTTCTCCTATATTATTACAATAGTATAGCTCTTCAGAAACAGTCATAAGTCCAACATTCTGCTATTTAAGTGTACCCTGACACTGTGGGCAAGAAACCTGGCAGAGAGTCTAGCATCCTATTGTCAAGATATTTTTACCAGTTTTTTTTTTTTTTAGGACATCTTATGTAAGAAAGGATATTGCATTTCTCCCAGCATCCATAGTCAGTAGGCAGAGATATTGAACCAGAGTGTCTTGCAGCCCAGGGTGACCCATGTCCCTTCCACTCAGAATTTCTTGTCCAAACATAGCCACGTGGTCCTAAGCAACTACTCACAATTCTTTTGGAAACTCCAGCTCTGGTTCCCCTGTTTCCTTGCTTGCTTGGCCCAGTTGTTTTTTCTCTCTCTTTACTTGTGGCACTTTTCATCCTCATAGTTCATATTTTCCATTGAATTATCTACTTTAATTGCAAAGTTTTACATAGGCTACCATTTTTAGGTACATTTATATTGTATTAAAACATGCCTGATATAAAACCTACTATTTTAATTGCTCTACGCACACAATTCAGTGGCACTCCTTTCTTTTTGGAGAACCATCATCAACATCCCTTTCTAAAAGCTTCTTCACATCCCAAACAGAAACATTACACCCAAACTCCTTTTTCTCCGGCCTGGTGGGCCTATTTTGTGTTTGTCTCTGTAAATCGACCTGTGCCAGGTACTTCATGTGAGCAGAATCATGTCTTTGTCCTTTTGTATCTGGCTTATTTCCCTTCACAAAATATCTTCAAAGTTCCAGCATGTCATAGGACAGATCAAAATGTCATCGTTTGTTTGGGTAATAGAACATACACTGTAATTATGCACCACACTTGTTCATTCATCTGTGGAAGGAGATTGGGGTTGTTTCTGTTCTGTTTTGGCTACTGTGGATAACAATGCTGTGAACTTTGGTGGAAACGTCTCTGAGCCTCTGCTTTTTAGTTGTTGAGGGTTTATACCTAAGAGTGGAATTGCTGCATCATTGGGTTATTCTATGTTTGAATTTTAGAGAGGTGATGGTATTGAGACATAGCAGGTGATGCCACAGCCTGTGACATTGGCATCCCATATGAGCGCTGTTCAAGTCATAACTGTTCTTTCAATCCAGGTTCCCGCTAATGAATGTGAGAAAAATAGCAGAAGAAGGGCCAAGTGCTTGGAACATGCCACCCATGTGGGAGAACTGGATGGAACTTGTGGCTCCTGGGTTTGGCCAGGGCCACTTGGGGAGTAAACCAGCAAATAGAAGATTCCTTCTCTCTCTCTCTCTCTCTCTCTTATCTGTCTCTCTCCTCCCTCTTCTCCTCTCCTTTTCCCTACATCTCTGTCTTTCAAAGAAATAAGTTTTGCTAAAATTTAAATCTTTAGGGAACTGTCATGGTCTTCCATCGCAGCTGCCTGTTTTGTGTTCTTACCAGCAATGAAGAGAGGGTCCAATATGTCCACATCCTTGCTTCCACTTGCTAGTTTATATTTCTGTTTTGTTTCCCTCAGTTTTTTGCTTTGCTGTTAGCTATACTAAAGAGTGTGAGGGGCATCTCATTGTGGTCATGGATTTCATTATCCTTAATTACCAGTGTATCTAAGCATTGTGTCTCTTCCTTGAATGTTTGTATATTTTTTTTGAGAAATGGATATTCCCCTCCATTGTCCATGTTTTAATATTGTGGATGAGTCACAAGAATTTTTTAATTTTTTTAAATATATAATTTATTTTATTTAGATGATGTTTACAAAGTTCACCAGGATGAGAAGGATCTAGGGTTTGAGGAAAATGGTATGATCATTATTTCCAAATTTTCTTTCTTCTTCCTGTTTCTTGGGGGGAGGCGGAGGTAGAGGGAGAAGCCATACCCAGTTCCCACCCACCCCAGTACTTGGGGATGCAGAACAGTCAGTATTAATGCATGAACCCGAAGTGGTGCATGCATGAGGGCTCTGTCCAGATGGTTGTGATATTTCTGAAATGTTGTCAATCTCGCTGATCCACGAATGAGGAATCCTTCCAATGTCAGCTGGCTGATACTGTCGTCAACCTTAGAGTCTCCATTCATCCAGATTTGCTTTGACTTGCTGCCATCGTTTGGCTGGGGCAATTGTCCAGTCTCTTCCTTCTTCCTTCCACTGCTATGGTACCAGATGTCCTCTGCATGTCCCAAGGGCTGCCATATACTGCATGTGTATCTGAACCAGCTGTCTACTGCTCCATCTTTTCCACTGACGAGGATCAGTTCTCATGGGTGGGACCAAAGACCAGGGCCAAATGACCTTGGCCAAGCAACCACAGCCCTACTGGACCCTCTGCTACCGGGGAATCACACAGCTGAAACCCACCAAGCCAGCAAGCTTAGAAATCCAGACCCAGCACTCAGTGCTCAGGTAGGCCTGAGGACCCAGGCCAGCTGACCTGGGTCTCACAGACCTCCCATCCCCAAGGGTCACAGACCTGGAACCCACCAGACTGGCTTGGCTCACCTCATCTTGGCATACATCAGTGGGTATTTCAGCCTGGCTCAGTTCAGCCCGCCCCCAGGTCCAGCTCTTGCTAGTGGGTACCACATCCTAGTCTGGCCAGTCAGTCCCCAGCCTCAGTGAGAAATAGCTAGTGTCAAGCCTGGCCCCTCCTGTACTCCATTCTGGTTCTCAGATCTGCCAGCGGATATAACCTGACCAAGCCTGGCCTTTCCACAGACCTGACCACATGTGTGCCGGTGGGTACTGTAACCTGGCCTGGTTTGGGCTGATCCTTGCCTTGGTTCTAACAGTCAGCTGCATGGACTGCATCCTGATAAAGGAGTACCCCAAGCTCCTGATCAGGTCTCCTCCTCATGGTAGATCTTGCCTTTGCCCACCTCTTGATCAGGTAGGAACAAGTTGGCCCATACCTAGTCTGGTTCTTACAGTTGGGTGTTGCAGCCCAACCATGCTTGGTCTATGCCCACAGCTCTCGTGTGTTGCAGCAGGGGTCAAGATGTAGCCCAGCCCATTCTACACCCACCCTGTCTCTCAGGAGTATCAGTGGGTGCTGGAGTCTAGCCCAGTCAAACACTCCCCAGATCCAGTCCATGTTCATGTCCAAGGAGACTGTAGTCATGTCCACCCCAGCCCGCTAACCCCCATCCTGGCTCTTGTACTCACCAGTGGGAACTCTATCCCTGCAGGAGCATCCGCTTAGCTCCCCAACCAGGCCTGTTCCCAGCCACAGATCTTGTTCATGCTAACAGATTGCTGTTTTACATGAGTGAGCTTACATACCACTCCACAGATTATGCCTTCAGACCTAATTCACTCCCATGCTAGGTAGTGTCTTGTTCCAGCCTCACATTGCCTGCTCCCTGTCTGACTGTCAATGGTGGTTCTGTGACCTAGGCCTGTGAGTACATGGGGATGCCTCAGAAGACATTTCTCACCTGGACATTAATCCTCAGATCCCTATTCATTCCCTCTTGTGCCATTCCACACTATCCCCTATAACTCACCCCTCCCCAAGTCCTGGAGAACACAGATTCCCCAGGAACATGCCTACCCCTACCCATGTTGTATATGGTGTAAAGTAAGGTGCCAGATTCATACACTTGCCTGTGGATATCTGACTTAATAATGAAGCTGGGTTGCTCCCCCCTCTGAACAACCTTGGCAACTTTGCTGGAAAACGATTAAGCATAAATGAGATTATGTATTGGCTCTCTTTTCTATTCCTTGTATAGAGTGTCTGTTCCAATACCAGTACCACCCTGCTTTGATTTTTACAGATGTCAAGTTCTAAAATAAAAACATGTAATTCCTCCATGGTCTTCTCTTATTTTTACTTGAAAGGCATAGTTATAGGAAGAAGGAGAGGAGGAGAGAGAGAGATGGAAAATGTGATCATCCATCTGTTGGTTCACTCCCCAAATGTCTGCAATGGCTGGAGCTGAGCCAATCCAAAGGCATGTGCCAGGAGCTTCCTCCAGGCTCCCACACGGGTCAGGCACCCATGGCCTGGTGTTTTCCCAAGTTATGAGCAGTGAGCTGGATCAGAATTAGAATACAAATATGGTATGCTGGCACTACAGACATAGGATTAACCTGAAATGTCACCTTGCTAGCCCAATCCAACCATAAACTTCCAATCTGTTTGCTATAAAGGTAATATGCTGCTACTGAAACCCCCAAAAGAACTTTAAAATATCAAAACAAAACCCTAAAAGAATTTAAAAAATGTTTAAAATACTGTGTCATTAGTAAAGAGTTTCAAATGAATGTCTTGGAAGAGAGTGATGACCATGTAATGCCTCATCTATATTAAGGGAGAAGGGGGTTGTTGCTAAGATCCTATCTGCAAATATTATGTCTGATGGAAAGGAGGGACAGCACCATATCAAAAGCCGAAGCCAGTGGCAGCTAAGAGTTTCTTGTAAAAGAACAGAACATGTTAGCCGGTCTATGTGCACAAAGTCATTGACTGAGTACAATCAGTGGTTTAATACGAGTGACTTCATATGGAGACCTAGTTAAACTGAACAAAATTGTATTCATCTCACGGGAATCCCTCAATATACAGCTTGAATTTCTTTCCAGGCTTTACATAGCATGAAGAAGCAGGAGCTGCATTTACGGCAAGATCCAATGTGAATACCACTTCTTGTCCCGGTTGCCTCACTTAGGACCCAGCTGTTACTTTCTTGATGACAGCAGAAGATAGTCTGGATGTCTGGGCCCTTTCCACCCACATGGAGACCTCAAGGGGATATTTTCCAGCCATGGCTTGCCCAGATTTGGCCATTGTAGCTACTGGGGCGAACCAGATGATTCCAGATAGCATATGTCTTTCTATTTCTCCTCCTCTCTGCAACTCACACTTTCACATGAATAAATGAATCTTTAAAATAAATAAATGAATTTTAAAATTGAGAAACACTGGTAATAATCATCTATTTACTAAGTTTTATATAATGCATTTGAATCCTTGAAATATCTTTTTTAATCGATTCTGGAACTCACTATTTAAACTGAAAGTTTATAGGGTTCCATTTATCAATTTATAAGAGTCAAGTATTTTATTTTATTTATCATCCGTTGTGTTAGAATTTCTTTGCCCAGTTGGAATATTTTAGGGCAAGTGATCCTAAGACTGACACACACTTACTGATGTAAGCAGGTTCCCATGAGGATGGATAGATAAGGTCTCTGTCTCCTCCCCCAGCAGGGGCAGCAGAGGAGGAGCTGCAGGTGACTCAGCCTGACAAGTCCGTGTCAGTGGCAGCTGGAGACTCGGTGACCCTGCGCTGCAGAGTAAACACCCTGCTGCCCGTGGGACCCATAAGGTGGTTCAAGGGGGCTGGGCCAGACCGGAAGATGATCTATGACTACAGAGGACTCCAGTACCCCCGAGTGACAACCCTTTCAGACCTCACAAAGCGACAGAACATGGATTTTTCCATCCGCATCAGCAACATCACCACGGCAGACACAGGCATCTACTACTGCGTGAAGTTCCAGAGAGAGAGTATAGGAGTTGTGGAGTTTAAGTCTGGACCCGGCACACAGGTGTCTGTGCAAGGTGAGTGCCCTGCAGACTTCCTTCAGCTTCTGTTGGGATAACAGGCCCATGTCCATTGTAACATTCTCCATTCTGAGGACAGCCTCTGAGAACCAAGTGCATTATGGGAGTTCATTGTCCCAACCTGATGTCACCCCTTCTATAGATCAGGAAAGCAGAGGTTGCAGAGGCTGTGCTAGCTTCCCCATCTGTGAAATGTTGATCAGCAAGGGCTCCTTTTGGAGAGTGGGAAGGATTTGAGGTCCTCTTAGGAAGTCATCCAGCTCAGAATGGGAAACCCTGACTCCAGGGCTATTGTCAGGATGTGTGATCCTGGGCAGTTCCTGGCTCCCCTCAGGTCCTCACATCCCCACCTGTGAGATGGGCATCAGCATGACCTCCCCATAGAGCCCCAGTCATGCCTTGGTCAGAGCTGGCCTTGAGGGTCATATGTAGGCAGTGGTTAGAGAACTTAACTGTAGCCCCTCTGCCTGGCACTTTTATGGCCTAGGCGGGACACAAAGGGTTCCCCAGATGGACCTCAAGGCTCCATTCCCCCTGCTCCTACATACAGAGCTGAGCTGAGAGCAGCAGCAGGGGCTTCAGCCAGACCAGCCAGACCAGCCTTGGGCCAGTGACTTCCTCTCTAGGCCTGAGGAGGATGCGGGTTGGGCAGACCAGGTTGACTCAATCTCTGCTACTCTTCAGAATCTCAGACTCAAGCAAGCTGAGGGTCTGGGCACTTGAAATTTTATTATACTAGAAAGTGCTAGAACAGAGCCAGGGCCCCATAGCCTGAGGTCATAGAGGAAAAGTGGTGGGGTTCCTCAGCCACAATGATATTCCACTGGTTCTGGGTCTGAGAACAGCTTTGAGGGTGTGGATGCTTCAGAATAGCAGGAGCCTGGACAGCTCTGGTGAAGCACCAGGCCTGGTTGAGGGTCCTCCCACACAGCCCAGATTTGCTTGTCATATTTGGCCTCAGTGTCTGAAACCTACTTCTTTCTGAAAAGCAGGAGTCCTGTAGCCCATGAACAGCCTGCAGCCGCTGATCCACCCCGTGCACAGCTTGCAGCCACTGACCTGCCCCTTGCACAGCTTGCAGCCACTGACCTGCCCCCTGCACAGCCCGCAAGGCCCTGCGGGATCCTCCCCATTTCCCAGCACTATCACACCTGAGGCATCTGTGAACTTGCTGGGCCTTTGCCAGCTGGCCTGCCAGTTTGTATGCCTCATGAACTTCAAGAGGGTGAGACCTCCCTGGGCAGTTCCTTCTCCTGTTTGCATTCAGATTCTGTGGTTGCTGCATAGGCCAGAAATGAGACCCTCCTCAGAGCTTCTGTCTGTGGCCTTGTTTGCCCTCTCCAATATGAATACTCATGCAGCTTCAGGACAGGAAAGAACAGAGCTGCTGCACAACCACAGGTGTTCATTATTTTGGTGAAGAATTATATTAAATGGAAAAGCAGACTTGCAGAGAGCAAAGGAGAGACAGAGAAAGATCTTCAATTCCCCAAATGGCCTCAATGGCTGGAGCTGACCCTATTCAAACCCAGAAAAAGGAGCTTCTTCAGGTTCTCCCACTTGTGCGCAGGGGACAAGTGGGACTCCTGGTCAGTCACACATACTCTGTCACTTGTCCCATGAAGAAGCCCTCACTGGGAGTCCCATAAACACACTCAGAGCTGGGGGAGGATTAATGTGCTGAAGCAGCACTGTGGCCTGCATCAAGGTCTTCAAGAACAACATAGATGGTACTGATGATTGTGGTTCATCCTGGAGGGATGTTGGCTGCTGATGGCTAGATGACTTGTTCAAACGACACTCACATTGCTGAGTCCTAATATGATGGGTGTCAGGGAGCAAGTTAAATGTTCACATATGCATATACTTGTGTGAGTACAAGCACTGTGGGGAACCCTTTAGTACACATGAGCAGGGAGGGCTGCCCGGGCTCTTGGAGTTCACCTCACCCCACACATACATCATGTGTGCTTGTAGAGACACAAAGTGCTTCTGCCTGCTCAGGGCTTTGGTTCCTGGAACTTGGAGCTGCTGAGAAATAGACCAGCTCTGCTTTGTGGGCTCTCTGATCTTTGTTTGCTGCCCACAACAAAAGATCCCTGGTTCCCCTCGCTTCCCAGGGGCACAGGTCTGGCACCTGCTTGAATGCTTATGGAAAGGCAGAGTTGTTAATCCCTGCAGGGAGAGCTCTGGATAGAACCAGACCCAGGTGACAGGAAATCTGTGGCGTGCAGCATCTTGGGTGCTGCAACGAAGGCCATAGTGCTCCTGGCTTCACTCAGACCTTCTGCAGCTCTTGGGGAGAAACACCTACTGTTCTGTTTCACAGACATAGAGCCATCATGTGTCCAGTCCACCTTCTGGGGGGCAGGTGTCCTGGCTCCAGCCATGAGGGCAGCAGTGCTGAGCCACTGTCCCTGCAGGTGCTTATGGAAGCACTTTCCCTAAAGTAAGGTTTTCAGGTGAGGCAGCTGGGATGTGTGATCACAGAGAGAGAACAGCCAGGACTGTGTTCCTGAGCAGGGCTGGGGAGTCAGGCCTAATAGGGAAGGACTGGATTCAGAGTCAGAATCCATCTGTGCATCCTGCCCCTTGCTCACGGTCAGACCTTAAGCATCCTGCCCCTCTGTGAATGAGAATAAGGACCTGCTGCCCAGCATGATACATGGACGTGGCATTTGTGTCCCTGGCCCGTGGTAACCATGGCCATCACTATCTTGTTTCCTGTGTGTGAATGCTCCTTTTGTAGCCAAACCCTCCAACCCTGAAGTGACAGGGCCCATGGCCAGGGCAGCCCCTGAGCAGACCGTGAGCTTCACCTGCAAGTCCCATGGCTTCTCCCCCCGCAACATCAGCCTGAGATGGTTCAAGAACGGGAACGAGCTCTCGGCCTTGCAGATGAGCGTGGAGCCTGCGGGAGAGAGCGTCTCCTACAACATCTCCAGCACCATGCAGGTGATCCTGACCAATGAGGACGTGCACTCTCAGGTCATCTGTGAGGTGGCCCACGTCACGCTGCAGGGGAGGCCTCTTCTGCGAGGGACTGCCAACTTGTCTGACACCATCCGAGGTAGATTCCCACAGGCCCTGTCCATGCCCTCATCTAGCCAGAATGCCTGTTTCTTGTCAGATATACTGGGCAGGAGTTCCTGCATCCAATTCTCAGCAGACCTGTCTACTCACCTTGCACCTAGGATGCTGGTCGCTTCCTGTCCTCTCAGTGACAGCTGCCATTGAACACCTGCCAAGCACTATGCAGCTGACTCACTCATCCTACTGATAGCAGAGTGTTCTAGCAGAGCACCTGTGTGGGCCAAGCCCCTGTGCTTGTGACGTCACTGCAGGGCTGTTCCACCTGCATCAAGGGTTTGGACTTGTTGAGTCACTTGGTGTCACCCTGATAGGAGCCTCTCCCTCAGCCTTCTCCATGTGTAGTGATGTCACTCATGTGCCCAGGCCCTTCCTGTCTGAGTGCCTACTGCATGCCTGGTCCTGTTTCAGGGATACCTTCACCCTAGCAATGGGAACTCAGTCACTCAGTCCCTCCTCCTCCAGCATCTGTTCTGTTTCAGTTCCCCCAACGATGGAGGTCACACAACATTCCACGGGGGGAAGGACTCAGGTGATCATCACCTGCCACGTGGACAAGTTCTACCCCAAGAGCATGCGGCTGACCTGGCTGGAGAATGGAAACGTGTCCCGGACAGAGATGGCATGGACGGAGGTGGAGAACAAGGATGGGACTTATAACCGCACAAGCTTGATCCTGGTGAACAACTCCGCCCAGAGGGATGAGCTGGTGATTTCCTGCCAGGTGGAGCATGACGGGCAGCCGGCGGTCACCAGAAGCCACATACTGCAGGTGTCAGCCCAGCCCAAGGAGCTCGACACAAATATCATTCTCGGTGAGGCCTCTCTCCAGCAGGTCTCCTGTTTTTATTTTAACCTTGTCCTTTTTCAAAACATGTGAGAAGTAGTAATCTTGCTCATTGTAGAATTATCTAGAAGATTATAAACATCAAGCAGGGTTTTAAAGCCAGCTCCCTCCTCCAAATCCCACACTCCAAGAGTTACCACGGCTCAGAGTTTGGGACAAGTCATGATGTCCTACTGATGTTCTGGCATCAGCAGCTGGAGGAACCCATGTGAGTGGCAGGCGTTTCCTGGAGAAGCAGCAAAGAGGCCCACTCTGGTCTCCTGTCACAGGCATCTCTCAGGACTTTGTAGACTCCCCCATGAAAACAGCGAGCCTCCAGAAACGTTTTCAGAAGCTGGAAAATGTATGAATTCAATTTTCTTAGTAGTTTAGACCTCTTTAGTGTATTCATTTCCTATTTTTAAAGATTTATTTATTTTTATTACAAAGTCAGATATACAGAGAGGAGGAGAGATAGAGAGGAAGATATTCTGTCCAATGATTCACTCCCTAAGTGACTGCAATGGCCGGTGCTGTGCCAATCCGAAGCCAGGAGCAGGAACTTCCTCCAGGTCTCCCACATGGGTGCAGGATCCCAAAGCACCTCGACTGATTTCCCAGGCCACAAGCAGGGAGCTGGATGGGAAGTGGAGCTGCCGGGCTTAGAACCAGCGCCCATATGGGATCCAGGCACATTCAAGGCAAGGACTTTTTCTGCTAGGCCACACCGCCAGGCCCTGTATTCATTTCCTATCGTGCCAATGGTGATAGGGCATGCTTTCTGAGGATTTTTGGTTTGTTGCATCAAACTTTTCAACTTTCTGTGTGTAGAACTGATCCCAGCATCCCCCTATCATCCGTTCTGTATCTGTGTTGCCTATAGTGATAGCCCTTGTTTCATTGATGGTGTTGGAAATGTGTCACTTCTCTTTTTCACTTGGTTAATCTGGCTAAAGGTTTTTCCATTTTTATTGATCTTTTCAAAGGCCCAACTCTCTGTTTCATTTAGTTTCTGAAAAGGTTTTCTGCTCTTTCCTTTTCATTATTTCCTTTTCCCCGCCTTACTCTGAGGTTCCTTTCCTGCCCTCTCCATTTTCTTAAGGTAGAGGCATTGGTCTCTGACTTGAGACTTTCCCACATTTTCAGGCTACACTTGGGTTGCCTTCTACAGCTGGGACCTGGGAGGTGGGTTTGGAGTTGGTGTTGAGTACTAAGATATCTGACTGTGGTGCAGTTGTCCAGGCCTCAGGTCCCCCCTGCCTGTCTGTCTTGCTGTCTCCTTGTGATGTTTCCAGGATTCATAAATGCTATTCACAGGAAAGAGTGAGGCGAAATGAGTCTGCCCCACCTGGATTGACTTGTGTCTGCTTTTTATTCTTCTGTCCACCTGTACAGGCCAGATCTTTCTGAGGGCTTTCAGCTTATCTAACATCCTTGCAGATAACTGATAATGAGCCTGCAACATAACTGTTGAATTTCAAGTCCTGCTTTGGCAGGGACAGAATAAATGACTCCAGGCTGGAGAAGACACATAGGTCAGACATTCTCCAATGTTAAAGACTATGACACTGCCTGTTCTACGTCTCTCTGATTACTGCTTTTGTCTTGGCCACATCTCTTTCTAGGACTCTGATTCCTCTGTCTCCATTCTGCTTGTCCAAAGCCCAAATGATTGCACTACTCACCCAGAGAATGCCAGCCCCCGGCCCCTTCTCAGGGCCCTGAATCACAGCCACCCAGGCCTAATGCCGTGTGAAGGCAAACATTCATAGCTCTTTGACATCAGGCCTGACTCAAGGTCCCTTCTGAGGGTCTGTGCTCAGATCTCTGCTGGGGTCTGGGGAACGTTTTCCAGTATTTTCCCCATTGGGGGTGTGCTATGTGGTCAGTGGATCTCCAGGCTCCCTGGGCCTCCTTCCTGCACGTTCCCTCTTGGGCCGGTAATGGTGAGGGGTGGGGAGGGAGAGAATCTGCACAGGCATTGATGATTCTCTTTCCCACACTGCTGCCTCTCGGTGAGTCATGCTGGAGGTCAGTTCTGGGCAGAGTGTAGTCTTCATTCTTTGTTGTTTCTCTTCATTTGTGGATGATATTAGTGGAGATGGCCTTCATCCTGCTTCCTGCTGCACCTGTCCTGCTAGAGGCCCAGGGTCTCTGAGAGCTTTGGCTTGGATGGGCCCATCTCACGTCTCAGCCTCCCCCAGCTTCTCTGCCCTATCCTGGCATGGCAGGCCCTGTCCTGAACCTCTGCTTTGCCTAGGTTTATTCCCAAGGCACAAGCCCCAGCTTCTGCTACCCCATGATCAGGAGATAAGAATGTGTGTTGCTTTCAGGAAGCCCTCTGGTTTCCTTCCTTCACTTTAGCTTGTAATTGAGGGCACTCAGCCCTGTTGTCTTCTTCTAAAGGATTGGTGCTCAGTGAGTGTTGTCCCTTAGTCCTAATCTCAAATCCCAACTGCATTTCAAGTACTCAGTACCACAGAGTTCCCTGGCCACAGTCAGTGGAAGTTGTAACCAGCACAGCACAGCACAGCTCTGCTGAGCTCCTCATTGTCCACATGGGAGCCATCAATTATCAAACCTGTGTTTCTAGACCACTGGTCCAGGTCAGTTTCCTGGGAAGCTGACTCCAAGATGGAACAGGAAAGCAGGGAGCATCCAGGAATGCTCTCAGGGCCAATGCTTGTCACCAGCCTGGCAGAGATAATGTCAGCCCACAAGTCCAAGCCCCACAAAGGACTCAGCAGTTCCTGTGAGAAGGTGGGGCAGGGTTGTTCTTTGAGTATTATTCTCAACTGAAGGGAAGTTGCTAGGCCAGTATGCTCTCTATTTAACAAGTGTTTGATGGGGGCTGCTCTTGAAGGATTCAGGAACTTGGCTTTCATAAAACCCAGCAACTCGGGGTTGTGAGAATCAAGAAGAAAGCAGTTGCCACCTGCAGGCATCCCATCACTAAACACACATTGTTCACCCTTCCCTCAGGAGGGGACAGCCTGGCAGCCTGAGACATAGGCAACAGGGCACGGGGACTCCCTTTATACTGGGTTCATGCCTTGGACTTCAGCCATGGCAGGATATGGGTGTCAGAGCATTTTCAGGTCTAGGTAGCCTCAGATGGACCTGTGGGGGCCCCTCAGCGGCTGCTCCTGTATCTGATCTCCAGGTCAGTAGTTGTCTCCTGCTTCACCTTTGTAGCTGTCATCCTTCTCCACAAGGTGCTGCTGGTGGTCCTTGTCTCTGCCATTCTTGTCTTCAAGAAGCACAAGACCTCAGGGTAAGTTGTGGGGGAGGGAGGGCTGGTCACAAGGCTGGGCCAGGTCATCCATTCTACAACGTCAGGGCCAGCCAGGTCTATCCCCCCGTTCCTCGACCACCTCAGAAACCTGCTGAGAAGTGGTCAGCTCCCAAGATGTGTGCAGGTGTGCCAGAGGTGGGCTAGGTCAAGAGCTTCTAAAGGGAGTACTCTGCAGAGTCCCAGTGATCCCACAGAGGAAGGGGGAACAAGTGATTCCCTTGCAGGATGCATTTCCATTAGCTAGACTCTGGGGTGAGAGGAGTACCTGATTTAGAGCAGTGACAGGAAACCCCAGGACCACTGGCCCAAGCAGAAAGGAAAGGAATGGGGAGGGAGGGAGGAGCGGGGGATGAAAGCTATGGGGCCAGAGGCATGTCTTAGGGGCTGCCCATACATTTCCACAGGTATCCAGGAAGAACAACCCCAAGGACAGCACAGAGGCAGCAGACAGTCCTTGAAGATGAGCAGTAATCCCTGTGGGAGTGTTTCCTCATAGTTCCTCCTGTCCTCCCCTGCCACAAGGGACCTTGTTCTGAGGGGCTCAGCCCAATGAAGGAATCCTTGAGAGGCTTGTGTAAACTCTGCTCTGTTCATTTCTCTTCCTGGGACGTCCACCTGCCTACGGCTCCTGCTCCTCCTTCCTGACCTCCTGGACAGCTGGGTCTGCATTTGTGGTCCTGGCAAGGGTTGTGGTAATTGGCTCTGGACCCTGACTCTTGGCACCATCCCAGGAGCTGAGCAACAAGGCAGTTCTAAACTATCAGAACATTTCTTGTCAAGACCACATTGGCCTTGACCTTGAGCCACAGGTTCTGGGAAACCCTCTGTAGAGCTAATCCATCTGGAGGCATGTTTGGTGCAGCAGGTAAGATGCTGCTGGGGATGCCTTGGTCATGCCTGGTCAAAATGCCTTGTTCAAGCTCCAGCTCTGTTTGGAGCTCCCGCAAATGAATGCTCCCCCTGGAGGCAGCAGGTGATGGCGCAGATACTGAGTCCCTACCATCCCACATGGAAGAAGAGTGCTGTTTCCTAAAACCCAGTTCTGGATGTTGTGGGCATTTGGGGAATAAACCAGCAGATGGAAGCTGAAAATCTCTCTCTCTCTCTCTCTCTCTCTCTCTCTCTCTCTCTCTCTCTCTCCTTTTCTCCTTTCCCCCATCTCTTTCCCCATTTCCTTTCCCTGTCCCATTCTCCCCTTTTCTCTTATTCCTCTCCCTGTAACTCTGCCATTCAAGTACATAATTTTGTTAAATAAATTAAAACTTCAGGGCCCGGCGCGGTGGCGCAAGTGGTTAAAGGTCCTCGCCTTGCACGCCCGGGATCCCATATGGGTGCCAGTTCTAATCCCGGCAGCCCCACTTCCCTTCCAGCTCCCTGCCTGTGGCCTGGGAAAGCAGTCGAGGACGGCCCAAAGCTTTGGGACCCTGCACCCGCGTGGGAAACCCGGAAGAGGCTCCTGGCTTCGGATCGGAAGATCTTCCTCTCTGTCTCTCCTCTCTGTATATCTGCCTTTCCAATAAAAAAAAAAAAAATAATAAAAATAAATCTTTAAAAAAAAAAAAAAAAAACTTCAAACACATTCTAAGACCCAGTGATGAGATGATGATGTTTAACAATTGCAAACGGTGGGGGGAAAAAGACTGATTTTTTAGTATTGCCAATTTCTAGGTGAAAATATTCCCCAAATGGCCAATTTCAAGCTAACAACAATTTACTCCAAGACGGCAAAACTCCTGAAACTTCTCCAGTTGCCTCTTCATCAGTTGAGCTAGTGCAAGTCCATTCCAGCGCATGGAGGACTACGTCTGGATCTGCATCTGTTGCCCCACAGTGCTCCCTGACCTGAGAAGCATCCACTTTTGCTGGAGACTCCCACTGGATGCCCTCCTCCAGCCTGGGGCAGTTCATGGCAATGAGTGTCAGGTGGAATCGTTACTCAGCTTCTCCCCATGTTCTCAGTCATGTCCTCCCCCCCCCCCCACTCCCTGGGAGCATCTGTACAGGGTCAAACAGTTCCCTTAAACTATCCTATGGAAAGTGCCAGCTAAACCACCCACTCCACACTCCAGTTCCTCTTGACTGGCTTCACTTCTGTGGCAATTACATCAGCCTGGGTAGTCCCTACTTTGCATTGTGAGGCAGGATTGTGACAATGCTTCTCTCCACTGCAGCCCTGGGAGAATGACCTTCAGAGTCAAACAGAAGATGGAGATAGCTCTCTGGCCTGTCCAGTTTATGATGCCCAGATAATGAAGGCTTCCACACTGCAGGTCATTAATATGTAGGATACATTAGGATATACTCTGGTCAGGGTACCTGGACCGGAGTAATGAAATATTAATAAAGCAAGTATCTAGCTGGTGTATTGTATTTGGATGCATTAGTGACACTGTAAGGAAAGTGCTTTGTTTCATTGTAAAGTTCTGTCTGTAGTAGTTCATCACCATCTTGTATAAATTACAGCTCCTGAATTCTCACCCACCTTTTTGTTTGCCTCATACCCTCGGACACCATCAAAATTGTGATTACCCCAAAAGTTCCTTGAATACAACATATTTTACTGATTTCTTCTGCTGAAACATTTTCACCCACATCCACTCCACCTTTTTCCTTTAGTTCAGGATGTTTTCCTTCACCAAGGTCCTCCAGTGTTGGGAGCATCAAATCTCCATGACCTGAGGCAGCTGCTGATCTGCCTCCGACTTCACCTTTACTCTGTTCCAACATCACTTCCCGTGTCACACCTCCTCCTTGCTTCACTGCAGGTTTACCTCTGTTGCCAAATCCTCCTCTCCATGATTCATTTCTGTGAAGTGTCATGTGCAAACTCTGGGAAAGGAGACCTCGTGGCTGTAGGCTTCTGTGTTTTGTATATAAACAAATATTTGCAGGGACCCATCACCAGCAGACTTTGTGAGAAGTGACCTAACTGGTCAATGGTCAAGAGGCACACTTGTTGTTTGTGAACTGATTTGCACCGTGACTGAAGAGCTGGCCCAGAAGATTGAGCCTCATGGCAGCTTTTACTTTGCTCACACTGCATGTCAAGTTTCCTTTTAGCAAAAGTGTGATCATGACTGAAGCTGGAGGCATGTGCTCTGGGATTCATGTGATTCAAGGGAAACTCGGATGACTAGAATTCTAAAGCCTTCACCAAGCACCACAGCACTACAACCTGCCAAGTACTGTGCCCCTCCTTCCACACACAGCCCTGTAGGTTAGGATCCTGTGCTAATCCACTAGATGCTCCTGTGCCATACACCGAATCAAATCACACAAACAGCCCACGCCTTTCTCTGATGGCCAAATTCATCCAAGGCTCCACAACACAGGGGAAAGGATACCCTCAAATAAACAGTGCCAGTCAGGTTAGGGACCCAGGTGCCTTTCACTAGTGAGCCTGACCTCTCTACTTCCTGGGGTGTGTGTGTGTGTGTGTGTGTGTGTGAGAGAGAGAGAGAGAGAGAGAGAGAGAGAGAGAGAGAGAATTCTTAGCTATAATTGCAATGTCTCCCTTTCACAGGGCATTGTTATGCTAAGTACTATTGAACATTCAATGGGGTTCTGATCTTACCATTCTATCAGAATCATGATAAATGTATTTTAGAAGATGGAAAAATGAGACTCAGGAAATGTTTAGTGATTCAGGGTAATTCAGTTGATTTGCCAACATTCAGCTGATCACTAGACTAAACCAGTAAGTTGACTCCACATCTGCTGGTAGTTGACACAAAATGAGAGACCAAATCAAGCCAACATAGGCCTACAAGAGAAAGATTTGCAGAGAAATTTGGGGACCCAAAAAGTTGCTCCCACTTTGGCTAGCAGCAAGTGTTCATTTTACATGAGGTGCCCCAAACTGGACTAAGGTGGAAGCCAAGTTGAAGAACATTCTGCTCAACATGAGTGCAGGGATGTGAAGAGCATGATTGGACAATATAGCACAGGTGTCCTGTTCCTGGCTCCAAGCTCACCTCCAGGTCCGTGGTATTTGGGAGGGAAACCAACTTGTCAAACCACTTTGCTTAAAGACTACATTGTCTTACAGGATGCCAGACGATGAAGGCCCTGTGCCCACAGAATGGTGAGTTACAAATCAATTTCTCTTCCTGTCCCCGAGGCCTTACTTTTCTCAGTGTTTCATCACTTGCAACTCTAAATGAACTCTGAGCAGTATCCAGTCTAAGAAATGATTGCCTCAATGGTACAAAAGGGCTGCCATTTGCTGGATACTTACTTTATCCTGGGCACTTTACCTCCATCACCTATGTGATAATGCTGATATGTAGGGATATTTGTGCTCATTGCATGACTGAGACCCAAGGAGATCCGGGGGGGAGGGGTGTGGACTGCAGAGAGTAGAGAGCACCAACATGTGCTCTGAGTTAGTCAAGAACCTTCTCTTACAGGGCTACTAACTCAATACATCAATCAAAAGTAATGATTAACTGATGTTGCAGTTGAGGAGCGCTTTGAGCTGCTTACAGCATCCACAAGAACCTGGGAACACCAGGGACTGCAGAGTAGGGTGGAACTCCATGCTCCCAAAACACCCCCTCTCTGACATTCTCTTGTTGCTGGTCATCTCTGCCTGCTTGCACACAGACCTTCTCCAGATAGATGCAGGCAGTGTTGACATTCGGCCTCCTGGTTTAACAACCCAGGTGGACAGAGAGCCTGTTCTCCCACCAGTGAGTCACAGGGATGCCTTTAGGTTGAACTTTCCCTGGGGTCACATCCCAACAGTTCACTTACTCATTATTGCCAAGGAGAGGAGATGCTATGATGGAAAAAAAAATTAACCACTGGAGCAAAATATCCCAGCATGTGATCCAACAGCTTCTTGTCATGGATGGGGAGAGGTTCCACATTAGACATACAGCAACCCAACACATGCTACCTGGAGGAGAAGTAAGGCTCAGGTGCTCCATGCTCATCATTTCTGATCATAACAAATTAACAGTCTTTTGCCATGTACTGGGTAGGACCGGAGTGTAGCAGGTTTAGGGGTAACCTGGGGTCCTGGCTGCAATGCCATTTTGCAGTTAACATGTTGGTCAGTTTATATTCCTGCCCCCAGGGCATGGGAGAGCCTGCATCTCCACAGCCCGGGCCACTCTGACAACCTGCAAAGATTTAAGCATCTGTCAAATTAACATTCTGAATGCAGGGCGTGCTCCTGTGTCACCAAAGGAAGCCAGTTTTTTCGTTTTGATGACATTATGAGCTTGTTCACAAATGATCCCCGCTGGAGAGAAATGTGTTAAGTAACCAATGCAAGTCCATATTCCCTCCTTCCAAGTCCCTTTCTCTGCCCTGGAGAGAACCACTTTTTAAGATTTTTTTTTTTTGTTTTTTTTTTTTTCAATTTACAATATAATTTTCTGCCACAACCAATAGATCTGCTTATGTGCTCAGGGCTGATGCTAGGTGCTCTGCCTGTGTCCTTGGTGCCTCTGCATGCCCTGGTTCCAACCCCACCCTCACTGCAGCCTGGGAGTGCTCCCTGATGCTGCATGGAAGATAACTATATGTCATGCCCTTTCACATCACCATCTGGGCTGCTATGGACTTTAGCATGTGATTTCTGTTTTTGTTTTCTAAGATTTATTTATTTTTACTACCAAGTCAGATTTACAGAGGGAGGAAATACAAAGAGTAAAATCTTCAGTCCCCTGACTCACTCCCTAAGAGGCCACAACAGCCAGAACTGAGCCAGTCTGAATCCAGGTTCCAGCATCTTCCAGGTCTCCCATGAGGGTGCAGGATTCCAAGACTTTGGGCATCCTCTACTGCTCTCTCAAACTACAAGAAGGGAGCTGAGTGGGAAGTGGGGCACCAGGAACATAAACTGGAATCCATAGGGGATCCCGGAGCATGCTAGGTGAGCACTTCAGCCACCAGGCTATAGTGGTTGGCCCATGACTCCTGGATTAATTCCGCATTTCCTGCACTGCATTTCTTGAACATATTTTCGTAGATTTGTCTGTGCCAATGCATGGTCTGTTGGAACTGACAGAGCTCATGGCCCCTGCACTGCCACCCTCCAGGGAAAAAACCCATTATAACCCCAAGGTCTGTAAT